TCTATGGTGATTGGGGGTAAGAAGAGGAGAGGACACCCTAGAAGAAAATGGAAGGATAACATGAGGCTAAACATGGAGGAGCTCGACTTTTTCGAGAACATGGCCTCCGACATGAGGGCATGGAGACTACACCTCAAGTTTGATGGATAACATTGCCCCCTTCTATGTGTTGTATGTTGTCCTGTATTATTAATAAATTATTCTTGCACTTATGATGGAATCTTGAATTACCCATGTATTATTTTTACTGCTCTCATAGACTTAGGTGTCGTTTGATAGTTGCTGACTGAGAAAGTGCTGAATGAGAAATGTATGTATGGGTAAGAAATCCTGACTGAGCAAGAAACCATGTTGTTTGATTGTACATCTGACTGATGAAAAATGACCATTTTACCATGCTGAAGAGTTATAAAAACATACAAATTGTCATACAAAATATAAATTACACACAAATCATTTAAAAATCTAAATAAAAATTATAAAAGGAATCATTGTTTTTATAAAGTTATAAGTAGATTCATTGTTTGTTAACAATTCAAGCAATTTATTCATTGACCAGATACTGTGTAACAAGTAAAGAGAATCAATATGAAGTTGAAGAGCCCAAAAAGATCATGATTACCCCCACAAGCCAAATCAATCAATAAACCTTGATATCTTCGCAGAACAAGTATGTAAAATGCCTATGAAGTCTTAAGTTCAAAACATGGGCCGCACCAAAAAGTGACTAATTTCACCAAAGCAACATAAGGGGAAAAATGGTCAAGAATTGGATCAAAAGGTCTTCTCTCACCAAGGGAGGAACTTTTTCAATGTGCAAATATGTATAATAACTATAAATCTTGAGTTAATAGCAGGGCAACACCAAAATTGTTGAAAATCACCAAATCCATACCAAGGGCAAAATAGTCAAGAATATAATTAAAAGGGAGAAAGGATATCAAGGGAAGCCTAGAAAGACAGTGAACTACACCACAACATCACCAAGGGATTTAATGGTTAATATTAGATAAAGAGACCTACCACGAACAAAGTAAGGTGGCACTAAGGGCAAAGTTATTACATATTAAATTAATAAATTAAGTACAAGGGACGTTCTGAAATCCAAATTGTGTTCCCAAATCCCATTCTCCTGTACAATCACTTCCTTATATCTAAGCTAAGTATAGGATCAAAATTGGAGTCGTTTAACATCACACAAATTTATGATATGTTGTGCTGTTTCTACTTTTAGAAGGGAAAATAACAGCAAAAACCCAATGGAGAACAACAAACATGAACCGCAAAGTTGAACATATTAGCAAACTCGGAACTTTGATGAGAATAATCAGAACTTTGATGAGAAAAATTGGAACTTTAAAACCAAATGAGAAGAATCCAGAAGGTGTACATGATGAGAAGAGGAAAAGGCGTGCCTGATGAGAAGAGGAGAAGGAGTCGATCGGTGGGGGGTAGAGGCATAAATCGTCGACAATCAATTGGAGGCGTGAAAGAGGAACGTAGGGAAATGACACAATTAGAAACACTTCTCTCTTTCTTAGTCAGTCAATTGCTTTTTTCTTACCGAGCCAGACCTTTCTTTCCGAGTCAAACACCCAAAATTGATTTACTAAACAGCTTTAGCTGATTGAGTCAGCCAAAAATGACTGACCCGACTCGGCCAGACGCATATCAAACATGGTCTTACTCCATTATGTTTTCCCTTATTTTGTAGGTCTCGTATCAATATATAAAGGTGGATTATTAATTATGTATTTTAATTAACTTATAACAAAATAAAATTAAATATTTTTTGAAAAGACAAAACTACAAAATGGTCCCTGTAGTTTACCAAAAATCACAAACTCAGTCCCAGTTAATTTTTTTTTTTACAAACAGGGTCTCTGTGGTTTCCAAAACTTACGTGAATGACCATTTTTGCTGACGCCGTTACTATTCATTCGTTAGTGTGAGGGTATTTTGGTCTTTTCAAGTAACAAGGACTGAGTTTGTGACTATAGGTAAACCATAAGGACCATTTATGTAAAAAAAATTTATATATTTTATGTTTATGAGTTTGTGGTTTTTCCATCCCTTTACTTTTTAAAATATCACTTTGAACTCTTCACTTTGAACTTTGAAAAATGTTACTTTCACCCCCTATTTTCTAAATTTTTTTGTTTAACCCCGTATTATATATAATTTGATTTATAATAACTTACATTCGTTAACCTAAAAAAAACTATTTTTACATGTTTATTTATATATATTTGTCGGTATAATTTTAGGTGGTCAACGTTTCGACTTTAATTTAAAACTTTCTTTCGTTAATTTTTTTTAAAAGTTATATGGTTTTTTTTATAAAATTGTTGGTTTAAATTCGAGTTTGTTTATGTCTCGACGTAGTATTTTTTTAAATGTTTTTTTGTGTTTAATTTTATGTACGTTTCTTACTTATGAGACAGGTCACATACAATTACTTTCATTTGTTAATTTTAAAAAATATATAATATTCGAGTTAGTCTAGTTTCGACATAATTCTTTTTTATTTATATTTATGTGCTTAATTGTATGTACATTCCTACGTATCATTCGCGTCACATATAATAATTTTCGTTCATTAACTTAAAAAATGTATAATCATCGAGCTTGTCTACGGTTTGCGAAACGTATTTTTTTTAACATTTCCGTGCTTAATTTTATGTACATTTCATACGTATGACTCGGGTCACATATAATACATTCTTATTATTATTTAAGCTTTCGTTCGTTAACTTAAAAAAAAATATTACTTACTTATTTGTATGCACGTGTCGATATAAATTTGAGTTTTTTTTAGTTTTTATTTTTATGTTTCGATGTAATTTTTTTTTTGTACGTTTTGGTGCTTATTTTATGTATGTTCCTACGTATGAGTTTGTTCACATATTATAGATAAAAACGTAATTATAAGCATTGAATTTTGTAAGTTGATTATATTGATAAAAGTTACGTTTCGACGTAAAAAAACACGAATGAAAAAAACACGTATATAAAAATAAACACGAACATAAAAAAAAACTATGTCGAAATGTAGGCGAACTCGAAACTATACTGATACGTAAAAAAAACGCAAAAGAAAAGTTACGTTGAAACGTAAACAAACTCGAATATAATACATTTTTTAAGCTAATGAATGAAAGTTATTATATGTGACCCGAATAATACGTAGGAATGTACATAAAATTAAGCTAAAAAATATATAAAAAAATACGTCGAAGCGTAGACAAACTCAATTATAATACATTTTTTAATACTAACAAACAAAAATTATTATATATGGTCCGTCTCATACGTATGAAACGTACATAAAGTTAAATACAAAAACAAAAAAAAAGCTACGTCGAAATGCAGATAAACTCGAATTTAAACCGACAAGTTTATAAAAAAAATAATGCAATTTTTTTTATAAGAATGTGAATGAAAGAAAGTTCTAAATTAAAATAAAAATGTTGACCACCTTAAATTATACCGACAAATATATAAAAATAAACACGTAAAAATAGTTTTTTTTAGGTTAACGAGCGAAAGTTATTAATGAAAATCAAATTATATATATAATACGAGGTTAAACACGAAAATTTAAAAAATAGAAAGGTGAAAGTAACATTTTTCAAAGTTCAAAGTGATATTTTAAAAAGTAAATGGTGAAGAACCATAAACTCATAAACATAAAATGTAGAAAAAAATTACATAAATAGTCCATATGGTTACCCATAGTCACAAACTCGGTCTCTACTACTTGAAAAGACCAAAATACCATCACACTAGTAGATGAACACTAATGACGTCAACAAAAATGGTCATTGGAAACCAAAAAGAATATGTTCGTAAAAAAAAATTAGCAAAGATTGAGTTTGTGATTTTTAGTAAATCATAGAGAACATTTTTGTAGTTTTGTCTTTTGAAAATTATAGTTACCTAAATTAAGAATTAATTGGTTTTTTTTATTAGTGGAGGATAAACAAACATTTTTATAAATTTATCCCTCAAAATAAATAATTTAAAAGTTTTTTTCCTCGTATTATATGATTTCATTTATAAATAAATAGAAAACAAATATGATTTTTATAATAACAAATTTTTTTTTATGTATTTAAGATAGATAACACCAAGTTGTAGCCCAAATGTGTAATAGACAAACCATACGATTACTATTTATGGATTATGGATACTTTGCTCTTTTATGCTAAAAATTAGCTATTACGTCACATTCTCCCTTGCCCACATCTACCAAGTCAGCCTTAGACATGTTCTTGTCATTTCCACTCCCAGCAACCTTAGCTTAGAAGTGCGCATGAGAATTGGTTAAGAATTTTGAGCCCAACCATGGTCCATAACGAGTTAAAATAAGCCCATGACTGGTTACCAGTATATGATATGTATACCTAATTAAAGCTGTATGATTAAGGGCATGGTTACGTAGGCCTAGTTAAAATTCCATGGTTATCAGCCCGATTGTAACGTTTTAAGTAAAATACTTTCGAATGATTTCAAAAATTCAATTAAAAGGGCATGGGCCTATAAGCAGTTTTGAATGCCCGCTTACAATGTGGTTAAAGATTTTCTTGACTAGGCCCGCTTAAGGCTGGTTAGTGTCTTATTGATTTTATGATTGGGCCAGGAATAACTCAAATCTCGTCAGACCTTATTTATTTTTATTTTTTTTTCCTCTAGGTTTAACGAGGTATACCTCGACGATCTCGAACCAACTTATATGCTCATTATGGAGTTTATAATCTAGAAATGAGATAGTTCCATAGGCACTTTTAACCTTTTTATATTTTGCTCTTATATATAAAAGAGGTACACCTTTGACGTCAAATTAAACAAGCACACATTTGGTTCTAAAACGATGAGAGATTTAGTTGTTGATTAGGATATCCAAAATATCCTTCAATATATAACAAAACAAAAGATAACGTTACATTTATTTTCTTCCAGATCTATTTGGTTGTCCTTCTATACATAGTTCAGTATAATTACTCCGATGCCATTGTGATCTCATGTCTCCTCATCAAAGGTGTACCTGCAACTACAGTAGACTTGGTGTTAACATCAGACGAAGACCAATCAGAACCACCGCCATTCCAGGCCAATCGAGCCAAAGAATCATCAACTTCATTAGCACCTGAGAACAGATACGAAAACGGATTTAAAGGCTCCGGCACCGGTAATGCACCTTCCAACATTTTCACAACGATGCTCATCACCGGCCGAGTCTCCGGTCTATACTGAACGCAGCAAATAGCTACCTTAAGCATCCTCTCAACAGCTTCATGATCCTTCTCTTCAATCGCACAAACTATCATCAAATCTTTCAACTCTTTCCTTTCGTATTTCCCCCACACCCATATTGGAAACCATTGTTGACTATCTGCAAGTCTCACGTCCATGTTCCTCCTTCTTCCGATGATCTCAAAGAGTAGCATACCGAAACTATAAACATCACATTTGTGTGAAACCGGGAGAGGTAGCCAGAGTTCTGGGGCGGCGTATCCCGGAGTACCACGTCCTCCGGTCATCGTTATATGAGTGTTATCCCTGTTGCAGAGTTTAGCTAAACCGAAATCCGCCACTTTTGCACAGAACTTTGAATCCAAAAGTATGTTTCCTGGTTTGATATCATAATGAACGATTCTTTGAGGACATTCTTCATGCAAGTAAGCGATGCCTCTTGCAGTTCCCAGACCAATCTCGTAGAGCTGCTCAAACCCTATAATCGGTCCTTTGCTTGCTTTAAACAAGTGATTATCCAGGGAGCCGTTGACCATAAATTCGTATACAAGAGCTCTTAAACTTGACTCGAAGCAAAACCCATAAAGCCTGACGAGATTAAAGTGATGGGTTCTTCCCATTGTGCTTACTTCCGCCATGAATTGTTCTTCAATTCTCTTGTCTGAGGTTCCGTTTAGTACTTTTACAGCTACAGCTATGTCGTTGCTAACAAGACCCTTGTAAACTGTCCCGAACCCACCTGAACCCAATAAGATGCTGAAGTTTTCTGTCGCTATTCTTAGCTGTTGAGCGGTGAACCGGATCGGTTTTTCTCTTTCCATGTCATCCAGGAATTTAACCATGGCGAGCGGAATAAAACGGGAATCGTTAGGGAATGGTTCCGTTTGCATCTTAGATCGTTTATTGCATACATATACAATGATGGCTATCTTCACCACAACAACTGCAAACAGAAACTATTAACAGCTGGATTGTTTAATAGAACTGTGCTACTAAGAGAATGGAAGAACTTACCGACGACAGAAACGGTAACACTAATAGCCGCGATCTCACCAGTATTATCACTTGACATAATGTCGGAAGATTAGAAACGAAAGGATTCAAGAAACTATACAGAACCAGAGAGTTGTTTACATGGTGGTTTAGATATGGTACGTGTTTAATTTATGGATTTTTTTAATTCTTTGACACTGAGAATATACTCCATACTATTGAAGAATATCATGTTGAAGTAGTAATTGGTGTTTAAGAATTTGTACATTCCAGTCAGTTTAAACTCTTTAGAACTTGGTGGAGTTCTCAACAATCGGCGACAATTAATGCCAACCGCAGGGAAAACGACGTTCAATGTTTACTCTACGAAATTTCGTTAACGTTGTCGCAGTCTAATTTTTGTGTGGTGATTGGTTGAAACGTGTTCAGTCACATTATTCTTGTAGTAAGAGTTTTCCAATAAAGATGATAACCGTGTTTACCAAGTCAAACGAGAAAGCTATATATATATATATATATATATATATATATATATATATATATATATATATATATATATATATATATATATATATATATATATGACAAACACAAGAAATGCAGAGTAGCTTTCGAAGAGGAAATTTCATGGGAAAGTTGATGGTGGATGGATTGTCCATTGGATTTTTAAATCAATATTTTTTTTTATATATACCCTTGTAGGATAATATAAACATTTTGAAAACCCACAATAATAATATTTGAGATTTACATTAAAGTGGAGAAGTATGACAATGAAAGGAATCATTTGTAATACTCCTTATTCCAATTTGAACATCGCGTGTGAGTTATGGATTAAATCTTCATCGTCTTTAGAATTTAAGTACAGAAAGTGAAATCATATATGATCTTGAGAATAAACTATTCTATAATGGTACGTAACACATAAGAGATGGGTTAAATCTTCATCCAAATGGTCACACGGATTTTAATACCTAAGAGAATAAGTGACTATAGTCTATATATGTCTATTCATTTAAATGATGAAGTATTAAAATTTGTGGGAACCACGAGGATAGAATCATGTCTTCAATACAATTTTTAAAAAATGGTTCGAACCAGATACTTATAACATGTTATAATAAATTTTGATGTTTTATCTTCTATTGTTGACAATCCAACTTCCCATCATAAAAAAGTTGAACCCTTAAGAAATGTATAACATATGTCATATGTACTTCTGTAGCATCCTTCTCACATTCAAACTTCTTTATGATCGAAATTCTCATTTAAATTTAAAAAGATATAATAAATCCCTCAAGTTTTAGACTTCACCTTAATGTTTTAAAATGTTTCCCATAACATGTCTCCCCAATCCTTTCCTAAAAGGCTTACAAGCATTACAAGAAAAACCCTTATTAGTGATCAATTTTGATGTCCTAAAATTTGGTCATTAACAACATCATTTAGTCACTGGATATTAAATCGTCACTAAATTTTGGTAATCCTATAAATTTAATGACCAATTTTATGTTGTCTATCACTAAATTTGCCACTAAACCGTGTGTAAAATTAAAATATTTTTCTTTTATATCATAATAACTATTAATGACTAAAAATAATATTTTGTCTGTTAAAGTCCTATTGACAAAAAATAATGGTCATTTTATTGGAATTTAAGTGCCCAAAAATAGTGATCAATGTTAAATAACATTTAGTTTGTTAAATGCCTAGTGACAAACCACTTAAACATAATGCGGAAGTGTGACCACTTAATAGTAGTGTTTAGGAGTAGGATAGTTTGTCGTTTCAAAAAAATAAATAAAAATAGTAGTCATTGAATTACAAAATGACTAAGAATCATTTATTGACCATAAAATAGTAGTTTATATATATATATATATATATATATATATATATATATATATATATATATATATATATATATATAATTTTCAGTCAAACACTCTCATTTAATTAGGGTGCGTCCTATTGTTAAGTTCACATGGGGATTTCCATAAGTTCATCGATTATAAACGACTATTCATCTAATCTATTTCCATGTTTGACGTAACTTGCTCGAGAATATCCATTGATTTCAGAGCGATTCGGTTCGATTTTTACAGAATTGTTAGAAGAAGGTAGAGATTAAGTACCTAATGAGTTAAGTATTAGATGATTAGTAGATCTCTTGATGAGATAAATAGATAGAATGTCCATGAGACAAGTGTTATGTGATGAGTCACATAAAAGAGTTAGAGAAGTGTATAAAGAGGATTCATTCGAGACTGGATAGCGATTCCCTCGGGAATAAATGGTATGATTCCTTCGAGAATAGAGAGTAAGTTCCCTACGGGGAAAGAGACGATGATTCCTTCGGGAATGTAGATAGATGATTCATGTGAGAATAAGTAGATAAGATTAAGAAAGGTTCCATGAGCAGAACAACGTAAAAGAGTTCTTTTAAGAACTTAGTTATAATCCATGAGTGACATAAGAAGAGAGAGGTAAAATGTTAATGGCTCCGTGAGGGTTCAAGATCAGGGGGCTAAGCCTATATGTGTGTTCCTGGTAAGACTATAGGTATGTTGTCCCCCTAGATGATAAATGAAGCTATCAGGTGTGATGGACCATTTGGGTCTATAAGAGGATAGAATGTTGATGCATGAGAAGTTTAGAATAAAGAGATGAAGAGTGAATAGAGTACGAGAGATGCATTCTAAGAGCAAGAGATGTGAAAAGAGTAGAGTAAGGCATGAGACGGGTGTGCATAGAGTACATAGAGAGTAGAGATTATTGAGATAGAGTATGGGGGAAAAAGAGAAGAAGTAAGAAGAGTATTAGAGAGGTAAGAAAGAGAAAATAGAGTATGTATAGAGTATGAGATGAGCCTAGGAAGAGGCTAAGAAAGAATATGAGATGAGAAGAAAAGATTAGAGAAGAAGAGTAGAAGATAGAGTATGAGATAAATGAGATACGAAGGCATGCAAAAAAGAGTAGAATGGATAGATGGAATGAGAAAGAATAGCAAAGTATGCTATGAGAAGAAGTGATTAGATTATAAAGTATTAAATGGAAGAGAAAAGAAAGTTAGAGTATGTGAAGAAAGAAAGAGTTAGAGGAAGAGTAGGGTAACAAGAAAACATATTAGAATATAACTCACCAGACATGTATTATGATGTAGTAGATGTTTTTCAAGTTTTGCATGTTCATGTAGCAGTCGTGGTATGTGAGAAGATAGGAGCATAAGGACTTAGATTAAAATAATAGATTTTAGTTCCTTGTACTTCCTTATTGTTCATTTTTTTGTTAGATTTTATTGCAGACCTGAGATTTAGGGGTGTTCGTTTGGATGGATCGGTTTATCCGATCCACTCAAGTGAATCCAAATTGATTTTGGTTTTTAAAACATAGATCTGAATAATCCAAATTAAATTAAGATCCATTTCGATCTAAACAAGTTACAATTCGATTAGATCGGTGTAAGTCGTTTCATAATTCGGGGTCGTGACCCGAAGATCAACTATCATAAGGCTTCAGACTTTTGGGGAAAGAAAGGATTAAGACCCTTTTTGGTTGAGGGTAATGTAGATTATGTGATCCAAGAATTTGGTTTGTGCTTTGGAGCCCAAGGGTTTAATGGTAAAAAGATGACGGTTCGGGCCTTTCATGAATTTAGGATTTAAGTTCGGAAGGTTTTTAAGGTGAAGGGGAATTTATAAGAGTATATAGCTTCTTATTAACTTTCTATGGATATAAGGATCATTAAAATCGAAGTTAGAACAAAGAAGTTATGGCCTTCGGAAGTTAGAATGGTTAAGGGCTTGCCAAGTACGCTGGGCATACTTGGTTGTGGTGATCATGAATGTTCATTTGCGTACGTTGGGCATACGCGACCCAGACTCAAACTCGCATTTAGGGCTTTGGACCCTATTTAAAGGCCTAAACTCATTTTCAATCCCTCTTCTCTTCAGCTGCCATCCCCTCTAACCCTAAATTTGGAAACCTATCCTTTCTTGTGTGAATTTCAAGCCTTGGTGTGATTTTTGGTGAGCTTTGGAGAAGAAGGAGATCTTGTAAGAGTCATTTCTTGGCTTAAAGGTTGTGGATACAATCTTTATTCATCTTTATCAGCCTTCAGGAGGTATAAAGTCTTAGCCTTGTTGATTCCTTGCTTAGATCTAGGTTAGTTAGGGTTGTTGGGTATATTTTGGTCCCATGATTTTATTCTAGTGAGTAAAATATACTCCAGAAGATTGGGTTGTACTTATTGGTGTTTCTAGGGTCCCTTGTTAATAAAAATCAGGTCTTGATGGTTTTGGTTCAACAATGCATGCCTTAGTGGCTATCTTATGGAGTATAGAAGCTAGAAATGGAGTTTATGCCTTTATGAGTCATGCAATAACATACAGTTGGCAACTTCATGGATTATGTAACGTCTGGGATTTATAAGGTACTATTTTTATTTGTATAAGGCTAATAGTTTTAAAAAGATTTGGGCTTAGACCTTTGGGCCCTTAGGATTGGACTGAGAAGTGTCGTACGTGGGGCGTACTATGCCAAGTACGCTCAACGTACTCAAGAGACTGGAACGCGGAAGCCATGCACGTACGCCCATCGAACCAGGAGTACACGCAACGTACGTATGCAGAATCTAAAACCCTAAATTTTAGGGTTTGATCCTTATATAAATGACCATATGCCTTTGGTCCAGCCTCCCTCTCACCCTTAGATAGCCACCACAAAAACCCTAACCCATATTTGTGTGTTCTTGTGATTTGGAAGCCACTTGAGAGCATTTTAGTGTTGTTTTGGTGTTATAAGAGAAAGAAGTTTGAAGAAGGAGCAAGGATTCAAAGGGAGCTTGTTGATCCAGGAGATTAGCACGATTTTTGACTCATTTGAGGTATCAAGCTTCAAACTTGATCATTGCATGCTTAAATTTGATTTTGGAGTGTTTTATGTCACTTTTGGACTTCATTGTTGAGGTTGCTTGAATCTTGATAGTTTCAGAACATAAGAGCTGTCCTTTTGAGCTCTTAGAAGCATTTAGAGTCATAAAAATCAGACCTTGATGGTTAAGCCACAACCATGCAAGTG